CCAAAAGCCAAATCTTGGCAACTATAAAGACAGTTTCTTAAAGATCTACATGAGTATGACAATTATTGGGATCTTCGCCTGAACTCCAGTTCAGCCTTGTGTTTATCTAGGAAAAAAGAAGAAAGCACATTTTTGAAATGTAAGCTATGAAGAATTAAATTGTCACTATGCCCATCGGACTAAAAAGTAATAACAAAGAAGAGCAATTTAGGGTAATCCGCAGTATTCAACAATCTTGTTAAATTTTGCATCATGAGTCAAAACACATGATCTTAGATTCAGAACAGATATGCTCTTCCCTGCTAAAATAAAATAAAAAAGTCTGCCCTAGCTGGTGTGGCTCAATTGCTTGGACATCATCCCTGAATGCACTGAAAGGTTGCTGGTTCTTCCTGGTCAGAGCACATGCCTTGATCTCAAGCTCATTTCCCAGTAGGGGACCTGTGGAGGAACTCACTCTCACACTGATGTTTCTCTTTCCCACTCCCTTCCTCTCTCTCTAAAAAAATCAATAACAATTAAATTAAAATCAGAGGAAGCCTGCAATGGTATCATGCAAATAATTAAATAAAGTAGGAAAGTGGGGAGAGGAAGAGAAAAGGAACAGAGAAAAACGAAAGCAGAAGAGAGGACAAAAAAATGTTTTCTAAGGTATACATTTTGGGAAAAGACAGTTAAATTCAGATGCTCCATAGAGTCCGAAAATAAAAATGTCCCCTCCCCCATCACTCTGTCTTCTCTTTCAGTGATAAAAATAAACAAACACATGATAAGAATTTAATAATCCTCTAAATGCAGGTGTCTTAAAGCACATTATCTGTCTACTTCCTTGGGATAACATGTGTTCTGTTGCCATCCTGTAGCTGACATTGAGCATTATTCTTCTATTCATAAGCAGCCACCAACTCTTTTTAGAATTAGGTGAGTGATGATGTTTTTCTTCAGTAAAAAGCCATTTGCTCATCTTTAAGAAAGTGGGCGAGAAAGTCTCCCTGGGTTCCAGGATTCTGGGCTGAAACATGCAAATCCAAGGCTCACCTAGTGGTTTTTACTTCTGTCTGCCTGTACCTCCATCCATCCTGCTAGTAGAAGCTTATTGCGTTTTCCCTAGATGGCTGGTCCTGCTTTCGGAGTTGGGCATATAATGTGAAAAAAAGGGGCAAAATCCCCATCTTCAACACCCCAGAGGCTTAAACAAGTATTTACATAATTATACAAATAAATATGTAATTAAAAACTACAATGATTGACAGGAAGGGAAATTAAAGATTGCTATGGGATCCTGTAATAAAAGGATTTGATTTTAAGTTTTCACATGTCCTGAAAAAACAAAAACAAAAAATACATGCATTCTGTTTTTTTTAGTGGTGAAGAGAGAATTTTGTCTGTTAACCTCAGTCAATAAAATACGCAAAATCTCTTAGGATATTAATTGTGCTGAAATCAAGCTTCTTGGGCCTTTGTTTGCTTTTAAAACTCTATTGCCATTAAAAGGACTTCAGAAATGAATAGCAAAAGATGTTTATTTATAGAGGTTTAGTATGCTAATTTAAAATAAGCTAGAGTGTTTTAAGAGGAATGGAAATTAAAAAAAAAAAATTTTTTTAAATCAAAAGTGGTGGATCTTGCCTAAACAGAGCAACAGTCCTGGTCCACTCAGAATTCAGAGGGTACTAGTTACTTTCCAACACATCCTGGCTATGCTGTCTTGGCCAATTCTGTAACCTCTCTGAGCCTCAATTTCCTCATCTATTAATATAAAGAAACTATCATAGTCACCTGCAGGGTCTTTCCGAGGGGCATCTGAGTAAATGTGCACAAAAGTGCCTTGTGACAGTCAGTTTAGTAAGGAGAGTACAGGAAGGAGAGAACCGTTGAAAAACATTAACGCCAATGGAACCATCCCTCCCTGGGGAATTAGTATTGGCTCTCCCAAAAGACTTCATTAGCTATTTGAAAGATGCCGTTGTGTATTTTTCCTTCAATTGCTTTCTAATTATCTCAAACTAAAGCTCTTGCCAATATTATCAGAGTCAGTTCCTTAGCATACCACATGTAGTACCCTGAAAAAACAAACAAACAAAAAAACAACTAGCAAATGTTTTCTGCAACAAATAACCATATGTGCACTTGGGATCAACTTGTACTGATAGAGGGAAATTGCATTGTTTTGAAATAGATACTGGCTTTTTTTTTTCTCCCCACTATTAGAAGCATATTCAAGGATAATAGAATAAACCTGAAACTGAAAAGAGTTGAACTTGAGAGAAAAATGCCATTTTAATTAGAGGAGTTAGTTATTCTCTACTTGAGTTCATGCCTCAGCAGGCACAGTATCTTGACTAAGGAGGCCCCTACCTTTGTTAATGATTCACAAAGGGCATTGCTCAAGACACACAGATTCCAGGACACTTGCTGAAAAAACGGGCCATCCAGGGAAATCACAGCCTGAAGGAGACATTTTTAACCAGTCGTGTCAGAAGAAATCACTCCATGTTTACCTTCTGGGATTTCAGTGCAGGACTCCAAAGATATAGGTGAGATTTTATAAATTCAAATCTGAAATCATCTCAGCACCCTAAATAACATTTTTGAATTTTACTTGTGGGAAGCAGTTATAGGGTTAAGCCTCCGACTGACCTGCTGGCAAAGTTGCAAACAAGTCCCAGCTTGGAGGGCACAGTCCTCTTAGCATAATTAAGCTTGATCTTGTAACTGCTCCCTATATCTTTCCTGGGTAGTTAGTGGGCTGTGAGAGGGCCAGCAATTGTTGCCAAAACAAGTAAAACTTACAAGAACATTGTACATTACCATGTTTGCCCCTGATTATAAATAAAGCCTCAACTTTGCAGTCTGGATCTGTTCTGTGTCCTCAGAAGATCCACCTAGACCCAGCTTTTTCTCTTTATCTATCATTTCTCCATTCTTCGTCGCCCCTGCTCAGGATCGCTTGGCTGTGCTGGTACGGCTCAGTTACCATCTCAATTAAGGGACAGCGATCAAGATAAATCGAGTGTTAGAAAATAAAATTCAGCAACTAGTGTTGATCAGTTGATTAGGCGTTATCCCATCACTGAAAGGTTGCTGGTTCAATTCCAGGTCAGGGCACATGCCACGGTTGTGGGTTCAATCCACAGGAGGGGGTGTGCAGGAGTCAGGTAGCCAATCCATGTCTTAATGTTTCTCTCTCCTTCTCCCTTTCTTTCTCTATAAGAATCTTAAAAAAAAAAAAAACCATACACATAATTTTTAAACACAATCAAGGAATGGGTTATTTATGACCAAGCTTGAACATGTGCTTAGATAGAATTCCCTATTTACTTAATTTGCTCTATTTTTACATAAATAGGAAAGACATAAAGTAGGAAACGCCTCGGCTTTATTAATGCAAACATATTTTATTAAAGAATGAATGCATTTATGCTAAAGAATAGTTTACATGTGTTGGAAAGCAGCAAGCATATCTCCAAGGGGCGGGTTCTCCTCAACATGACTCCATGCTAATTCTACATGCTTTAAACCCAAACCCACACTTGGGGGTACATATACACAACACAGATGCATATAGGAACACACAGATACAAAGACCAAAACACCAACACCATTGCTCTCTAGATACTATTAACTCTCATTTAAGGCTTCTTTCTGTAAGGTGCCCCATTGCCCCCACCATCACCAGGATTAAAAACCAACTTTAATCAGTGGGCAGCATTACCTGGGAAACTAGCCATCTGCTCTCAGCCTTAAATGTTTGCATTTTAACAAATCCTCTCAATTTTATACAGTGATGACCCTCGGCATTTTATGACATTGAAAGATCCAAGAAACTGAGAAATCTCAGCTTTAGTGAGAACTTCTCATTAGAAACAGTGAATGCACTGGCGATCCTGACTCTGAGATGCTCCTGAATTGAAGGTCACAGGGTCAGATTTCTCTTTAGATTAAGTTGGATGTAGACAAGCCAAATTTAGAGAACTCACTGGACTGCAAGGTTGAGTGATGGCAGCAAGGCTTCCTTGGTGACACCAAGTCAGATTTGAAGCTTGCCTGGAAGGACTCATTAGACAGGACCATAAGTTACCACAAGTCAGAGTTGAACAAAAAAATAGCCTGCATGGAGTTTGTTCACTTGCTGATAACTCATTCCCTTTTTCCAAGGTATCTGTTGTGGTGGTGGTTGTTTTGAACTCCTAGCTGGTTTGACAGTTGATTTCATCTGCTCAGTGAGGGTGTCCTGCAGTGTATGTTGAGGATCCACCCCTGTGGGGATGTTGGCCTGGGTTAGAAGGGGAACAGGCTGGGTGGGGCAGGAGGAGGGAAGGGTCATTAGTAGTTGCAAGGATTCTAAGAAAATAGATGAAGTGAATACAATAAGAGGACACTACTTGATATATTTATGTAAATAAAAGCATTATCTTTAACTGTGAATTAACTGCCAACTATCAGACTGTTAGTTGTAAAGCTCAATGAAGGCTGTGCTGATCGGCTTACTGAGGAGAGGATCTGAAACATGGGAGAGGAGTCTCAGGCTCGAATCCACCTGACTTTTCCTTTAGCCCTGCTGCTTCCGCATCAACATCAGTACTTACTCTCTGCCCCCTTGACTAATGATCTGTTAAGTGCATCTAATATTCTTGTTGGTTTTCATAAGGCAAACTGGAATTGTCCATCAAATAACAGCCTCAGTGTCTTTGCCTGAGAATGGTGAAAATCAGCATGGAGCTCTCCTACAGGGAGGCCCTGGGGAATGAGCAAGAAAAAGAGAGTCTAGAACTTTCTTCCCCATCCACACTCCCACCTCCTCACAGTCACAGCAGCAGCAGATTTCAATGTAACGTAATTACTTTAATAATACATTTCTTTAGATTTAGAGTTGCTCTTCTGAATTTAAAAAGCTTGGTCGGCCAATAGTTTGGCAGTCTTTCATTGAATCGTTGCATATTCATATGGTCTGAAATTCCTGGACCAATGCTGCCCTTTCTGAAGCCCCCAAAGTTCCTTCAGCCGTCATCCGATTCTAATCCCTGGGAGACCTCCTCAGAGGAGCTGTTCCTGTGGATCCGGCCATCACTCTTCATACTGTGGAAAGTCTTCTTGAAAGCCTCCATCATGGCGTGGGCCAGCTTCTTGGCCTCCAGCTTGCTCTCGCACTCGACAGCATGACAGTCCATCTGGTAGGACAGGTCATCATTGATCTCCCTGTAGACCCAGGCAAAGATATTGGGGCTCACGTTGTGGTCGGCGGTGCAGTAGGCGATGCGAGCCACTTGGAAGGTATCCATGTGGACCGTAGCCTCCCCTTTGTGGTCAAGGTGATGAAGACACACTTGGAATGGTCGGATTTCCAGAAGAACATTGGGTGGAAAGATATCTTCTCGGGCTAGTGTGTGCTTCCTCCAGAGCTCAATGACTGGCTTTTCTGTGCAGCCTGAAAAAAACTGCATGCCTGTGGTAGGGACTTTACCCAGATAGGTAACCTGCAGAGGAAATAGAGGAAGAAAAAAGAAGAGGTCAATAATATTCTTTGTGCTAGTTGTTCATTTTAATGTTCTCATTCATGGTGTCACATGGGAAGATGGAGCAACAGCTTTCCTGCTCCCTAAATGTCATAACTGCCATCAGAATTTTTACCCTTTTTCCTTAACAAGTGGCTCACTTGGCAAAAATATTGTAATTCTTTAAATATTAGAGTTGGCATTTAAAAATCTATTTCTAGAAAACTACTCTCCCTCTCCTTGCTCCTCTTTAAAACTCACAGTAGAGTGATGATATTTTACATAATTTGGCATTTCTTTATACTCATACAGGCACTTGAAGTTTATTTTCAACCAAACTCAAGCAGAATTTAATGATAGGAAGGAGTCATAGGATGGTGCATCTTAAAAACAAAATCTTATTAAACATCTCCTAGTTTGGTTCTCTTTTTAAATCTGTCAATGTTCGCTTTCCCTTGAGCTTCTTGCTTCTAGCAAATGCCAAGGACACGGGGGGGGGGGGGGGGGGGGAGAGAGGGGGATGTTCTATTTAAATTACGGCCTAAAACACGATTGGTTTCCTTCCAAGGTAATTTCTGAAAATATAGCAATACAGTTGTTTTTCAACCTGAACAGTTTTGGAATAAATGGGTACCATCTGGTTATAGTGATAATAAATGAAAGATTTACAGATGGTTGGGGACTGAGAATGCTTGCTTATCAAATAGCTAGATGGGCAGTACAAAAACAAAGGAAAATAATTCCAAGTGATTCAAATAGTGATTTCTTAAAAACGTGTTTAAGAATACCAATAAGGGATTTTTTTTATTCTTTCATTTTTTTTTTCATTCATCAAAACAGATAGAACTGCTATCATTAAGGAAAGGCATATACTGAAGACATTATTTAAGAAATAACAAGAAATACAATTTGGTGCATAATTAGTGACATAGATATACATACTATGGATTTGAGGAAGAAAAGACAAGAAAAAGGGTCCATGGAAATGGTGAGAAAGGACATTTTGTCACAGTGATTCCAAATCAATATTGACATTTAGTGGGACTATAAAGGCCATGTACAAAAATTTTAGAGCACAGAAGTTAAGTAGTTACAATTTCTCGTGCTTTTTCTCTTAAACAAGAGTTAATTGGATAGTCCCTTTAAAAACATAGCTCCTTAGTAAAGAAGCATAAAAGTTGCACATTCTAGAAATATTCAAAACCTATCTATAATAATAAAAGTGTAATATGCTAATTAGACTGGACAGCTTAATGTCCTTCCAGACGTCATTCCAGATGACCTTCTGGATGAAGCCCAGGTGGCTATGAGAGCTGAGGCAAGCTGCTGAGGCTGCAAGGGCCAAGCCCTTTGCACGAATTTTATGTATTGGGCCTTTAATTACACATAATGGCAATATGCCAGACAGGCATGTGAGAAGGATAAAGTGAAAATGGGGTGGCCCAAAAATCAATGAGAAGCAAACAGATATTTGTTCAGAGGCAGGCAGAATCAAGATGTAAATCCTAGCTTTACTGTTCACCAGGTGGATGGATCATTCCAGACACACCACTGGACCTCTGCACATGCACAGACATCATTATAATGTAAGGGAGACCATGAAAAGGGTGGCAATGAGTACTACATAGTACCCTGAACATTCAGTGGAAGGAAGTATGGTTCCTTGCTGGCAAAGGCCTCAGAGAGGAGAGACATTAAATTTCAAGTCATCAGGATCTCAAAAGCCAGATAGGATCCCAGCAAGTCAAGGTGGTGTGAGAAGGAGAGAGCAGATAGGCAAGCAAGGGCTGCGGTGAGAAAAGCCCCAGGTGGGAAAGGGGCTGCTTTGGCCTGACCACACCTTAGATTGTGGCAAAAGCCAAATTAGGAACTTCTCTCCTCTTGATGAAATGCCACTAAAAATCTACAGTCCAAGGAAGGCCTGGATTTGACCAAGGTTGAAAACTTGGAAGACCTGAGAATGGGGAGGGCTGAGTAAGAGCAGAATGCTCTGGCAAGATGTTGTAGCAATAGCCCAGCCTGGAGGCAAAGATGAACTGAATTAGGGGTGTCGGCAGTGGGGAAGGACAGAGGAGACACATGGCAAAGATATTTCAAAAATAAAACTGACAGTACACTGTAGGGAGAAAATAACTCAGACACTGCAAATGCTCAAACTTCTCAAAGAGGGCAACTAGTTGAATAGCTCCGTGTCTCTCTGGATTGGAGTCAAATAATAAAGATGGCTTTGTGAGCAAATGTACAACAAAGGGTTCTTCACTACCATTTCAGTGAATATACATTCACTGAAAATGTATATTCTGTATGTGGTACTTTGTGATGTCTTTATTATTTTTAACAGCTTTACTTTTTACTGAAGTGAAATTTCACATCATATAAAACATAACATTTTAAAGCGTATGATTCAGTAGCATGTAGTAGTCAAAATGTTGTACAACTATCTGCTCTAACTAGCTCCAAGATATATTCATCAACCCCAAAGGCGACATAGTGCCCATTAAAACAATCTTTCTCCGTTATCCCCGACCACCCACCTGTGTTCTGTTTCTGTGGATTCCCTATTCTTCCTAATTCATATAAGTGGAGTCATACAATATGTGGCCTTTCCTGTCTGGCTTCTTTCACTTAGAATAATGTTTTCAACATTCATCAAAGTTGTACCTGTATCAGTACCTCATTCATTCCTATGACATCTTTACTTCTGGAAGTTTAAACGCAAATGGGGAAAACAAGTTTCAGTGCTTGGAGTGAAAGCATATTCTCTATTACTCTCCCCTAAAACTAGAAATAACTTTCTATTGCATAAAAAAATTCTTCTGATGGAGAGAAACTCCTTAGATATGCCAATAAGATCCACCTTCACACCACCCCCCCTCCGCCCTCTCCCCCACACACACACATTTTAAAAAATTACAGTGTCTTCTACTGCAATTGTAAAAGGATGAGCTATAAAACATTAGAAGTGGTAAATGACTCACTCCAACAGGAAGCAATTTCATAGTGGTAACATTTTGACAATGAAGACAAAATATAATCTCCCTTATAAATATTTATTACTTAAAAAACTAAAGATTTTAAAGGACATAAAGTTTTATTGTGGAAGTGTGCTTTAGAGAAGAGTTGAGTGGAGATTAGTAGCTCAAGAAGTTTAATAGACAATAATGAAAGCTACAAATAATATGCAGACATTTAAAAAAAACAATTTTAAACACTGAGGTACAGCATAATATATAGATGTAATCTCTTGAAATTAAACTTATTATGGAAGTGTCTTTAATCAGTGGTTTCTTTTCACCAGGATCATCTGACTAGCACTCTACACATTAACCATAAGGCCCTAAGCCCCCACTGACATGCACCCTCCACCAAATCAAACCACGCAGACACTGAAGAGTAGTAACAAATATTTGTGTCATACTTCAAGTGAGAAGCACATGGTATCTATAAGTTCACTGTATCTGACAGCACTGTGGTTCAGAATCTAATATTACTATCACTAACCCATTTTAAAAGACAAGAACTTTAGATGAGGTGGTAGGACTGGGAGACACAACTTATACTTTCAAGTGTTGGGATTTCAGGAATATTTTGATTATTTGTGAAGAACATTGCTTAGAAAAAAATGGCCTGAAAAGACACATATGAATTCCTGAACCATTTTGCTATTAAATGAGAGGCATTTACAACTGGTTTCACTTTCAGCCAGTTATTCATTTTTCCCATCTTTGGACTATCAGAGAAATTTTGGGTTTATATGAGCATCCACGTACAATGGGTCCTTCCATAGAATGAACAACACTTTTTTTTGTTTGGTGCTTTTGCCAATGACACTCTTCTCCATGACAATATAAGCCTAGGCAGTTCTTTAAAAAGGTATTCTGTTTTCTAATTGCAGAAAGTGAGAAGTAAAACCCCTAGAAAATTGTCAAGTAAAATAGTGCACAAACAATAAAATAATACATGTATATGATATCCCATTATATTATTATATAATTTATTTACAATATATCATCTGTTTTCTAAAACTCAAAAAAAATATAGAATACACTTAAAATGAAATCAAAGAAAATAAAAGTTAACCTCAAAGACTCTTGGAATTTTCCCACAAGTTTTCTGTGCAAAGAGAAGCCTTAAATACGTCTGTTCCTAGCACTGACCCTGAATATTCCATTAGCTTCATCGTGCAGAGTGTTACCAAGCCTGCAGATGGAAGAAAGTTGTAAGTGGCTTATGCAAGGACTCTGCTCCATGGGGACACTGGCAAGGGCCAACAATCACACAAAGTGTTCGTTCCCGGGAACCACCACTGATGCCTGCTCTCAATTTGTAATGAAGGCCACAGAGGCAGTGGCAGACAGACAAGTCCTTCCTACCAGCACAGAATTAGCAAAAATGCCCCTGAAGTGCCAGCAAATGGCTGGTTCCCTAGTGACAGCAGCTCCTGCTGCTTGATTGTACCAGGATCCCCTCACCTCAGGCCTCGCAAGATTCTTGGCTGAGTCTTCTCTTGATTCTAAGGAGCTAACTCTGCCCAAATCTTTCTAAACAGTCCCAGTAATGAACTGATTCCTGCTGGATCTGCTCAACACAGAGCAGGAGTCAGAGGGTAAAACTTACGCTGCTGGGTGAACCTTAGAAAGTCAATGAAACTCTTGTTTGTTGTCTTTGTGGAGCGGATAACATTGTCTACAATCCCATGAGGTTATGTAAATACAACAACATAAAGTCAACAAGTTGACACTTCTTAAAGACATATAGGAAAAGAATGGTCTGAATAGATTTTTTCCTAGAAATGGAATAAAAATAATTCTGTTGTTTCCTTAAAAATGGAACGCAAAATGATAAAATGACCTCCCAACATACCTTCCTTTCAGAAGGATCCCTGACTTCACCTGTGCATTTTCCCCTCATCAGTCAAATGCTTGCTAGTTGCCTGCCCATTTCCTAAATATCCCACTAAATTTTCCAGAGTCTGGCATTAA